CGGCCGCAGTTGTCACATGCCCACCACTGCCTCAGGGCCTCGGATCCCACCCCACAGCTCACTGCCCCCTGGAGGGCCACAGAGCCGGTGTGGGCCTCCGCCCCGCCCTCTCCCGGGGCTGCGGTCCCGTGCAGCCGACGCTCAACACGCTGCATAAGGCCTTACGCCCCGATTTTCAAGTGTGGTACCCCACAGATCAGCCCTCACTGCCCACCGCCTGCCTGCCACCCCACGCAAGTCTACTCACAGAAACGAGAAACAAAACCCAGCATTAATACGGCATTTGGTATTGAAACCCCCAGCCTAGCTTTTCACCTGATGGCAGCCCCTGCCCTGGCGTGAGACCCAGCAGGACAGGCACCTCGAGCACCAGGGTGCCCTGTCTTATGTTTCTGTGACAGGAAGTTTCCAGAAGCAGTGGATCTGGGCGCTGGCACTGGCCTGGCGGGGGCACACAGAGGCCTGTGTCAGGGCCGGGAGGAGCTCCAGGCCGCCGGGCACCGGGCTGCACCAGGCTTGTGCCCCGGCGTGGGAGGTCTCAGTCCCCACAGGTGCCCCTCGGGCCCTCTGGGGTTGGTGGGCTCTGTGTGGCCTCTGGCCCTGCTGCCTGACAGCGCACACCACGACCATCCTCAGCTGCCTCTGCTGCTGGGTGGCCCTTGCCTGGGGCAGTGAGTGCCTGCGGGCTGCCCCAGCCTGTCCCTTCCCCCACAGGGCCGAGGGGAAGCAGGCCGGCCGCCGGGGCCGGAGCACGTCGCTGAAGGAGCGGCAGCCGGCGCGTCCGCAGAATGAGCGGGCCAACAGCCTGGACAACGAGCGTTGCCCGGACACTCGGAGCCAGCTGCAGGTGGGTGCCCAGCCCAGGGCGGGGACCCCGGCCAGCCCTGGCTGTCCCAGGGCGGGCGGCTCCAAGGCGAGGGCGCCTGTTCTCTACCTGGACGGCTTGTCGGGACAGCCCACTGCCGCTGCTGCTGCTGCCCCGCTGCCCGTGGGCTGCAGTGGCCCTGCAGCGCTTTCAGCCCGTGGCCACTGTCCACAGCGAGGCCGTGTGTCTGAGCGCTCCCAGGTGGCTGCTGGAGAGGGAGTGGGCTGAGCAGGTGAGGGGCGGGCGCAGTTCCCCTCACGCTGGGTTCAGCGGGCACTGTGTCTTCAGATCCCCAGGAAGACTGTGTATGACCAGTTAAACCACATCCTCATCTCCGATGACCAGCTCCCCGAAAACATCATTCTTGTCAACACCTCGGACTGGCAGGGGCAGGTGGGTAGGGGCGGTGCATCCTCTCCGCAGAGGGGAGGGGGCGGGGCAGCGCAGCCTCTGCAGGGTGGAGCGTCCAGGGGCTGGGCGTCCATCCCGCAGGATGGAGTGGCGGGGGTGTCTGGCCAGCCTTGCCTGTTTGAGGACCCTGACCGAGGCGCCCTCACAGGCGAGGCTGGTGGTGGGTGGTTCGGAGGCTCACCCTCCCCCGCCTCCCAGTTCCTCTCAGACGTCCTGCAGCGGCACACGCTCCCCGTGGTGTGCACGTGCTCTGCTGCCGACGTCCAGGCGGCCTTCAGCACCATCGTCTCTCGGATACAGAGATAGTGAGTCCCACACCCTCCGCGGCTGCCGCCCGGGAGTCCCTGGGGATCTCCGCACCCCAGCGTTTTGTGTGGCTCCGCCCCGCCGACCCGCAGTCTTGCCAGAGCCGGGTGGAGAGCAGTGGCCCGGGCGGGAGCTTCTGGCTTCCGGCGGCTCCATCAGCGTGAGCCGCGGGAGAGGCCGGGTGGAGGGGAGCAGGGGCGCCCTGGGGCCTCCCTCGGGCCCAGCGAGGGCGGCCTTCGCGGCGGGACGGCTCCCTGAGGCGTCTGTTCCCTCTCGTCCTGCCTGCGGGACCGCAGCTGCAACTGCAATTCCCAGCCCCCGACCCCCGTGAAGATCGCCGTGGCGGGAGCGCAGCATTACCTCAGCGCCATTCTGCGGCTCTTCGTGGAGCAGCTGTCTCACAAGACCCCCGACTGGCTGGGCTACATGCGCTTCCTCGTCATCCCGCTGGGTGAGGGGCGCTCTTGACTCCGCAGGAGCCACGCGGATGCCCGGCAGCGGTGTCCGCCCTCCCTCCGAGCGCCCGCAGGCCCCGCAGCTTGGGCGACTCGATGTCGGCTCGGATTTGTTGTCAAAGTGCCAAGCAGGGGTTGGTTATTAACCTCTTAAAGTTACCAAGATCCTCTGCAAATCAAAACCCAAATCCCATTTTTCGGCTTCGCAATATGTTGCAAACAAATCTGTCTCCTGGAAAGGGCTGAGGTGTAGAGAAGACCCCTCCCCGCAGCACGGGAGGCCGTCTGGTGTGCAGGACACACCTTGGTCCGGCCGAGTGATCTGTGTTCCAAGGAGGCCGAGAAGCCACTTCCTTGGGGACCGGGGGTTGGGGGCCGAGGTCATCGGGGAGGCGCGGAACGGCGCGCAGGCTCCGCACGCTCTGACGCTCTCCCCTTGGTTCGCAGGCTCCCACCCGGTGGCCAGATACCTGGGCTCCGTGGACTACCGGTACAACAACTTTTTCCAGGATCTGACCTGGAGAGACCTGTTCAACAAGCTGGAGGCCCAGAGCGCCGGTGAGGCCCCGGCCCCGGCCGTGCCCCGTGCGCCCCCGCCCTCGAGCCCACACTGCCACGCCCCCCCAGCCCTGGCGCCCACCCCACCAAGCCTCCATGAGAACCCGAGTCATTCGCTGTGCCCTGAGATGTGACCTTTCTCAGGCCCCTCTGGGGCCTGAGTGTCTGGGAGGGAGGTGGGGTCAGCGGGCTGGGCCAGTGGAGCCTCCGCCAGGATGCTTCCCTTTGCCCACCGTGAGCCGCAGAGGTTCTTGGCGACCGGGCCCCCGGGGAGGGCTTTTCAGGACTTGGACAGGCCTTGCTGCCCTCCCCAGGACCCCGTGAGGGTGGCGGCCAGAGGAGCCGCTCAGCCGCCCCCAGCGTGGCCGCCTGGATTCGGGGTGCTGGTGTGCAGCACCCCATGAACCCCTCCTGGTCTCCTCGTGCAGTGCAGGACACGCCGGACATTGTGTCGAGGATCACGCAGTACATCTCGGGGGCCAACTGCGCCCACCAGCTGCCCATCGCAGAGGCCATGCTGACCTACAAGCAGAAGAGGTACCTCCTGGGGCCTGGGCGGGTGTGGGGCGGTGGCAGCGACCTGCCGTCCCCCTGCGGTCTCGGTGGGCAGAGCCCGCAGTTCTCGCTGTCCCATCTCCTTGGCTTGCTCATTGGGCTCTGCGGGAGGGAAGCCAAGCTGGGATCAGGGGGAGCCTGTGAGCCATCCGAGCAGCCCCCAGTTCTCGACCACCGCACCCTTTCCCGATGCGAATCGGAGTTAGAATGAGCCGGTCGCTTTTTCTTTCTCGTTGTATGTATTGGGACTTCCGGTAATAAAAGTTACAAGAATAGTGGTTCTGGTGCTTGGCCCCTAGCAACGACCTGCTTTCTCCAGCCTGGGCACACGCTCCTCCAACAGCAGGGCTTCCTGGCAGGGAGACCCGTTTCTCACCCCGCCCAGTGCAGGACGGTGGTCAGGGGCCGTGCCCAGGACGGGGTGGGACTGGGTGCACAGGTTGGGGGATCGAGCGGCCCCTTAGCCAGCTCCCGGCCAGAGACGTCCGGGTGGGGAAGGGCAGGAATAGGCAGACCACTCCCGGGCTGATGGAGTACACGCACCCCCCCACCCCCACCCCCGCTCCCGTCGGGGGCGGTGCATGGCTTCTTGAGGCGGAGGTAGAATCGAGCCAAAGCCTCTGCAGGTGCCCAGCGCACAGCCTAGCGCAAGGTTCCCGGCTCTTCCTCTGCGAGGGGCACGGGGACCACTGTGCTGGTGCCATGCCTGGGGGTGCCTCGTCGCACCTGAGCATGTAATAACGTCATGTTTTTCTCTTTGGTGGCTTTCTGAAAAGGAGAAAGAACTTTCATTTTGACTTTACCCTCAGGTACTGCTGTCCCTGGGGCCGTGCCCCCTTCCGCCCGCTGGCTGGTCTTTGAGGCTGTTTAGCAGTGTCAGCAGGTGGACCCCGGTGCACTGCCAGCTGTCCTAGCCAGGCCTGCACTCTTGGGCCCCCACCCAGCTGCAGCGACAAAAGCCTGCTGCCTGCAAGTCGCCGGGCAGGCTCTTTGTTTCAGTCCTGAGTTTGGGTTTCAGAAGTGGCCGATCGAACTTCTCCCTGAGTTGCTCCATCTCTGAAGCCTGGCGGCGTTACCTCTTAAATTAGCAGCAGGGGCTGGTTTCACCCCGAGAGCTGCCGGGTGCTGGCACCACTCTCCGACTGTGGGCTTTGCTCCCAGCACACGGTGCCAGCAGCTGGGGGAGGATGGCATTCATGCTGACCCTACACGTGGGGGCGGTGGGGAGAGGGGATGGGGAGCTCGCTCTGGGTGACGGCAGTGGTCAGTGGCCAGCTCCAGGCCCCTGCCACCCTGCACCCAGGTGGCAGAGAGCAGCTCCGGGCCGTGTTTACCTGGATGGGACTGCCGCACACGGGCAAAGTGCTTGTCTCCCCCGAGGCGGCTCCACCCTCGGTTTGGCTGTCCGTTGGGAGCTGAGCTCCGGATGCTCCCAGAGTTGCCCTTTCACACAGGGCCCCTGCCTGCCTGGCGTCCTGCGCTGGGTCCCTCAGGGCGCTTCTCTGCCATGGGTCTCAGGTTATTTGCTCTCCTGGGAAAGCCCCCCGGGGAGGGTCCTTGGGTCCCAAGTGGCCTCTCTGCTGGGCCCTGGGACAGACCAGGAGGAGGGGTCTAAGCTCGTTGGACTGTCCTGCTAAACAAGCCTCAGGGGCTAGAGAAAAACCAGCCGTGGTGTGCCCTGCTGACCCCTTGGGCTGTCCTGTGGGCCTGCGCCGGCTTCCCTCCCCTCCCCGCCCCCCTGCCCTTAGCCAAGGCGCCAGGAGTCCGCGGCATGCTTCGTTGCCTGGGCCACAGCTTCTCGACTGTGCTGCGGTTGGCGCTCGTGAGCCTCGAGCCGGGGCTTAGGAGACCCCGAGCCTCCTCCATGCCTCGTGCCCCCGCCTCCGCGTTACAGTGGTGACACCGGCATGAGGGGTCGGGTGGGGGCTCCGGTTGCCCTGGGTGGAGCCCTGTGAAGGCAGCGTGCCACCCACGCTTGGAGCCTGGGTCTGGAAGCGCAGCAGGTCTGCTTTTGCCTGCTGTGACAGAGAACAGGCTGCTGTCCACCTGGAGGAGTCAGGAGACGCAGGAGAGGATGGGCAGCGGGCACGGCCCTTCTGGTCCCTCTCCAGCCCAGGCCCCATGAGGGCACCTGCAGGGAGGAGCCTATCTGCCCAGCGCCAGCTCCCGGCCTGGGCTCAGACCCGCCGTTGGTCCCCCCGGGCAACCGCTAGAGGGCTTCCCAGCGCCTCTACACCGGCCTCGTGTGGGCTGCGCCCCCTCAGCCTCCAAGCCCCCCCCACCTCAAGTGGAGGCACGCTACACCTCCCCCCACGTGCGGGTCTCAGGAGCCACGCCCAGGGGCCTTGCCGCAGAGCCAAGGCTCAGGCCCTAGGAGTTTTGTCCGCTGCCCCTGCCAAGAACACGTGTGCCCCTCCGCATCCGGGGTCCAGATTGAGGGGTCTCGGTGGAAGCTGGTGTCACCCCCGTCTCGCCGGGCGCGTGCCGCGTTCTGGATATGGTCTGCATGGCCCAGGGGCACAGCTTGGCTTTGGCGTTTGTGGCGTGTAGTCTCCTGAGTCCCGCCTCTTGAGGCCCCCGTTTGCCTGCCTTCCTGCGTGCCGATCGTGGGGGCGGAGGGGCGGCGGCAGGGGTGGGGGCGGGCAGTGGCTCGCTGAGGGTGGGAGCCCTGAGGGTCCGAGCCTCCCGTGCGCTGGGCCAAGGACCCCACCCGGCTTCCTGCTTCTTGCCACCCTGCATGCAGAAGGAGGTCTGGGCGCAGGATTTGTCGTTGCTTGAAATGAAAAAAGGGAAGTTTTTTTTTCCAACTGTACTCTTGCAAGGGGGAGAGAGAGTGGTAATCTGGTCATTTTCAGTTGGATGGACTGAACCCGTAGGGTCTTTCACCCAAAGACGTTTGCTGTCTCTTTTGCGAAGGTGGGGTGGGTGGTGCCGGGGCAGAGGTCGTGGGTGCCCAGATCCCCGGGGCGCCTTGGGGGGGGGGCGGCTCCTGCTGATGGGTGCTGTGGTGCTGGGTGTGGGGGGGCAACTCCTGCCGGGACCAGCCTGACAGCGCTTTGTGCTGGCCCCTGGGCCAGGGTCACTTGGCCCGCTGGTGGCCACACTTCATGGGGACCGCCAGCCAGGTGCAGGCCTCCACCCCCCACAGGGGCAGGGAGGGGAGGGCCTCTTGAAGGCTCTGGCGACGTGGGGCTCCTGGTCCCCCTGGTCCCGGGAATTGGTGCCCAGGGAGGCCCCCCAACAGCCTGCTTGGAGCAGAGGCTTCTCCCTGAGTGACACCCCTGGGCCACTGCCTTGCGTGGCGCGCGTGTGTGGACTCACCCACAGGAGAGTCGATCTTTGACGACAGGCTCTGGTTTAGGGAGATGAGACAAATGGCCCACGGCTGGGTGGACGCCGCCAGCCCAGGAAGCGGGGAGGGGGCGCCTATCTTCCCTGAAGCTGGGGGGAGGGACAGAAGGCCCAGGACCGGCCCCGCCCTGGGGACCTACACAGAGGCGGCCAAGAAGGAGGCGCTCTCCCAGCCGCCGGTGGAGCGTCAGTCCTGCGGGAGAGCCCCTCGGACCACAGCCCAGGCTAAGGCAGACACCAGGCGAGGGCAGCCTGCTGCCAGCTGAGCCACAGGAGCAGCCCTGGCTGGGAAAGAGGGGGAGGAAGAGACAGGTTTGCACCCCCTCGGCTCCTGCCAACACCCGCACCCAGGGCCCTTGGACACTGGATGCCTTTGCCACCGATGGGCTGTGACCAGCGGTTCTGGCGAGGCTGAGGTTCTGCCAGAAGTCCTGCAGAGCCCGTGGGCACAGTACAGCAGCACAGCCCACAGAGCCTCGGCCTCGCCCTCGGGCTCCTCTTGGGGCATCGTTCTGTTAGAACGTGGCGTGTGCACCCCATCACCGAGGTCAAAGTCCTGGAGCTAGGCCCCGCCCCACAGTGGGCACCAGCTTTACCCAGACCATCTGGGAGAAAACTTCCCTAGCCTGGCTTGGGACAGTCACCCCCGATCACTGGCAGAGACCCAGACTGTTCCTGGGGCATCCTGGGGGCACAGAAAGCCGGCCTCTCTTGGGGCTCAGTGAGTGGGGCCAGCAGGAAGACCTTTGGGCTGGGCTGGCTGCCCCGAGCCCCAGCCCCCAGGCTAGAGTGGCAGATTCCTGGGCCAAGCTGCACTCCCTTCCCCTCTGGGCTGTCCCGTGGGCCTCTGGACCTCGGTGCAGAGATGTGTTTGCCGTTGCTGTATGTCAGAAGGGTTTGCGGGTCTGAGGTCCAGGCCAGGCGTCCTGCGGGAGGGTGGGAGCGAGGCAGTGGGTGGGGCAGGGCCACTCCGAAAGGGCCTGTCCTTCGGGGGGAGCGCTAACTGTCTGTTTCCCTCGTCTTAGCCCCGACGAAGAGTCCTCTCAGAAGTTCATTCCCTTCGTAGGGGTGAGTACTGCTCGGGCAGGCAGCGCCCTGCCCAAAGCTTTCCTGCCGCCTGGCTGGCTCCACCTGCTGCTGGGAGACCGTTTATCTGCCAAGAGGTCTTTTATAATCACTCTCTTCTTGCATTAACTTAATGTGTTCCAGAACCTTCCTCACCCGTTTGAGCTGAGGACTTGCCTTATACATTTCTCCCACCCTAAAGCTCTCTGTTTTTTCTTGCTGAGGTTGGGGGGTGAGCCCAGGCGTATCGCTGCCCCGGCTCTGCTGGGGCCTGACTTGTGGAAGCAGGCAGCCCACCTGGGGGTGAGGATCCAGTTCTCAGCACCGTCCTGGGTGTCCGGGCCCAGTGTCAGGCTCGGCTCTTCAGGGGGTACCGAGGGTCGGCGGGCCTCAGGACAGGCCCCGCCTGGGGTGGGGGCAGAGGGCTGCCTCTGTCCTTTGGGAGCCGCAGGGCAGGCTTGCTCGGCTGGGATCATCCCTGTAAGTTGGGAGGTTTTGCTTTTTCCCACGGCCAGGGAGTAAGGGCTCCTCCTCGCCGGCCAGGCCACGCGTCCACAGCCTGTGGTCCCACCGTGGTCTCCAGCCCGGCCTCTGCTGTGAGGGCCATACGGCAGCCTGGCAGACAACAGGGCCTCTAGGCCATGGTTCACTCTGCTCAGGCGTCAGGTGGCTGCTGGCTGTACTTGGAGGGTGCTGGTTCGGAGCAGCCTGTCCTGAGAAAGCTGCTGCGGTGACAGGAGGGCCTGTCCCGCTGGCTGCACTTGAGATGCCACCACATGACCGAGGCAGGAGCTGTTGTCGTGATTTCTTTCACGTGACACAGCTCCCACCCTGGTCAGGGTGGGGCCAGGACACCACCACCACCACCACCACCCCCCACCGGCAGCCCACGCGGGTTTGGAGCAGGCCCCAGGGCTGCCTTTGTACCCCGCTGGGCAGGGCTCCCTCACTCTAGCACCTGACCCGCTGACGTCTGCACCCGCCAGTCTCACGGGCACGCAGTTTGCTGAGTCCAGGGTGTGGGACCTGAGAGATTGCTTGTGGAGGTAGGGCACCAGTCCTGCCGGAGGCCACGTGTGTCCTGAATGCTGGCCACAGGTCAGGGCCAGGCCAGGGGCCGGCTGGCAGCCTTCGTCCCGGGAGTGCAGGATGGCCACAGAGCTTGCTTTAATTCAAGGGCGTCTCCCAAACACGCCCCCTGCACAGGAAGGTCCCTCAGCAGGGCCTGTGCCGTGGCTGACCATGCAGGCAGTGGCTCCCTTGAGCTTAGCTCTGCCCCACAGACTGAGGGGCTGGGACCTGGCTCGGCCCCAGGAGTTCCTGGGGGCTGGGGGGACATATGGAGGATGGGTGGTAGGAAAACAGGTCCCTGCCCGGTGTGGAGTCCCAGCACCACCCCCGGGCCACTGCCAGCACGTCTTGTTGCTTTCTAGGTGGTGAAGGTTGGAATAGTGGAGCCGTCTTCGGCCACTTCAGGTAACTCCATCATCCCTGCATCGGGGGCTGGGATGCAGGAGGGCCGGGGCAGCCCCAGCACCAACACGCACCTTGCTGAGGGGCTTCTGCTCCCCATGGATGGGCCACCCCTGACCCTGGAGGCCTGACAGCTCCCCCTCAGCCTGAGCGGTGGGGGGGGGGGGTCTCCCGCTTCCCACACACGCCCCCACCCAGCCCACAGCTGCCTGGCCTCCCTGCCATGTCTGGGTCCAGAGGGCTTGGGGCAGAGCAGCGGGGGAGCTCAGCACTGGCCCCTGACTCCTTCCCAAGGTGACTCAGATGACGCGGCCCCCTCGGGCTCCAGCGCACTCTCGTCCACCCCGCCGTCCACATCTCCCGCGGCCAAGGAGGCCTCACCCACCCCGCCCTCCTCCCCGTCGGTGAGCGGGGGCCTGTCCTCCCCCAGGTAAATGCGGCCATGTGGGCGGACGCTGACCACCAGCTCACGCCGCCCGTCCCCCCAGCACAGCAGGGACTGTGCTGAGAACACTGGCAGGTCCTCATGGTCCCTGGTCGTCCGTACCCTGGGGTGCCAGGAAGCAGAGGGTCATGGCGGAAGGTGGGCTCAGCGGCCCTGCAGGGGCCGTGGTGGTGTCGACCCAGGCTCATCAGACAAGTGGCTCAGGGCGCTGGACTGCTCAGTCCTGGCCTGGTGTCTCCCCACCTCGCCCCACCCCCTGCCTTCCTAGGGACGGGAACTACAGAGTATAAATACGGGGTGCTCTGCACACAGAGGGGGTTTTGGAAACTCAGATGTGAGTAGAAGGTGCGGGGACAGTGGGTGGGGGGTCCGCAGCCCCTGTCGGCTGCCCTCGGGGCTCTTGTGAGCAGAGCTCACCCAGGCAGGCCCGCCCCAGGGTCAGGGAGGACTTGGGCCCTGAGGCCGCACCTCCAAGGGGGCTGTGGGCCTGGGCCCGCCAGACAGAGCGGCAGCGTGGGCGGGCGGCAGGTGACCCCAGCATCGTGACGACGCTGGAGCCACGGGTGCGCACGGGGCTGCCCCAGGAGACCAGGACGGCCCGCCAGCGGCCTCTGGGCCCCGAGCTCCCCTCCGTCCTCAGCTGCTGCCAGCGGTCCCCCGACATCAGGCAGCACAGGCACCAGCGGGCGCCTCCTCGCCTGGGCCAGCCGCGGGGGTGCTGCCGTCACCCGCTGAGGACGGAGGGGTGAGCCTCCCTCGTCTTTCACAGCCAGGGCGTCGGCGCCGAGCTGATGGGGCTGCAGGTGGATTACTGGACGGCAGCCCAGGCCGCAGACAGGAAGAGGGACGCGGAGAGGAGGGAGCCGCCCGCCGCCAAGAGCACGCTCAAGTGCGCCTTCCGGTCCCTGCAGGTCAGCAGGCTGCCCGGCCGCGGCGAGGCCGCGGCCCCGCCCACCATGTCCATGACCGTGGTCACCAAGGAGAAGAACAAGAAGGGTGAGGCGGGCGGCGGGCGCGGCGGGACGCCCGGGGGCCGCTTCCGGCCAGAGCCCCGGCAGGCCCCGAGGGCTCCGCAGGCCTCCTGGCGGGCGGGCGGTGCAGGCGGGGTCCGTGCGGAAGGGGGTCCGGATGAGCAGGGCCCGAGGGCCGAGGTGCGCCCACAGCCCCTGCTGCCCCCCATCCCTGAGGGGCAACGGGAGGGCAGCACAGCCCCTTTTCCTCCTAGTGATGTTTTTGCCCAAGAAAACCAAGGACAAGGATGTAGAGTCCAAAAGCCAGTGCATTGAGGGTATCAGCCGTCTCATCTGCACCGCCAAGCACCAGCAGAACATGCTGCGGGGTGAGCGCTGCCTCCCTCCCTCTCTGTCTCCGTCTCCGTCTCTCCCTCTGTCTCTCTCTCTGTCCCCCAGCGGGAGTGTGTGTGGTGGGGTAGGATATGGAAGTAAACCAGAGCCGAGCTGGGTGGCTTTTCTAAGTTCACCTCAGGAAATGCTTTTGTTTGCTATGAAGTCATGTTACGTGGTTTGAGCTTTGAACACACGTGGATGAGGCTATTTGTGTGCGTGGAATAGCTTTTCCAATTCTGAGAAGTAACTTCTCAGTCTTTTGTGCTTTATCTCAGACTTTCTATAGAAGATTCTCTGCAACTAACAGAATATGGAGCTCTCGAGATTTTTCTTTTTTCATGAGCTCGAGTCTGCCTGCCTCTGTTGATTTTCTGGTTTAAGTGGAGAGTGTTTCAAATTGGGTTTGCAGGCCCCTGCTGAGGCAGAGGGGCTGTGGACAAGCAGGTCCCCTGAAGTCGGGGAGGGGCTGGCCGTGGGGGCGGTGGTGGGCAGCTGGCAGGAAGGTCAGCAAGGTGGGCTGGGCCGTCCCAGACCTCTTCCTACGGGGCCACTGAGAGCCAGCGAGTGTTGCCTGGGAGCCTGGGAGTCCCCGGGGGTGTCAGGCCCTCCAGCCTCGTTCTGTGCCACGGCCTGGAGGAGGGGCAGGTGGGTCAGGCGGTCTTGTCCCCCACAGTCCTCATCGACGGTGTGGAGTGGAACGACGTCAAGTTCTTCCAGCTGGCGGCCCAGTGGTCCTCCCACGTCAAGCACTTCCCCATCTGCATCTTCGGACACTCCAAGTCCACCTTTTAGCCCCGCCTGCCAAGGGGCCGCGCCGGCTCCCCGCCCTGCAGCCCTGCGATGGCCGAGCACCGGGAGGGGCCCAGCTGCTTTTCTGTTAACATTTCAGTTTACTGCAGAGACAGACCCTTAAAAACCCAGAGAAAAACAGTCTTAAGTATGAACATGCTCACTACCTGGAAACTAACGGGGCATCCCCCCACCGGGACCCCACAACTGCTCTGCTTATTAACCAGAACGTTCCGGCAGGGGTGGGAGGTCAGGCGGACAGTGTTGAACTTGAGAATCGTGGAAGGTTGTGTTGTGGCCTCAGGACTCCCCCCACCCAGCCCCCCCACAAGAAGGGTTCTTGCCTTTGCGTCCTGTCCTTTCTGAAAGCCAGGACTCTGCTTCCTTGGAGCCAGGGTCCGGCAGGCGGCCACCCGGACCCCAGGCTGCCTGTGTGCCCAGGCACCGAGCTGGGTGGCCAGAGGCCAAAGGCCAGCCTTCTGTCGGGGGCGTCCTGGGTGGAACAGAGGCCGGTCAGGCCAGTCAGCCCAGCCCTGGGCCCCAGCCACCAACCAGCCAAGAGATGCCCCAGCACCACCCACTCGTGGATCCCAGTAAACTCCAGCCACAGGGGGCCGTGGCCGTTTTATAGTAGCGGATATTTTTAATGCTTTCAAATACATGTTGCAATGTAGCTGCCGAACAGACGTTGCTCTTCTGAAGCCCCAACAGCCCCTTAGGGCTAAGGCAGAGCCAGCTGTGCTGCCCGGGGTCCCAGCCCCCCACACCCACTGCTCCCCCCGGGCCGTCCCCGCGGCACCGCTCTGCTTCTGCGAGTTGTGCCCGCCCCAAACTTAGTGGGCACAGTGGCTTCCGCAGCTGCCACCTCCTGCCCCCACCCCAGCCCCCCTGCTGGCTGGGAGGTGTTTGGCCAGGCAGCCAGGTATTTGTCATCTGCAACACTAATGTGGCCAGTTAGAGCTCAGACAAGGCGGCCAGACCATAGGGGCCAAGCCCCGTTGGGGCTGTGGGTGAAGCTGGGACCCCACCTCTAGGCCGGGCTCCTCAGGACGGAGGTGTTTGTGGTCTGGGTCCCTGCGGAGGGGGGCAAGCCTACCCTCCACCTGAGGCCAGGGTCCTCGCCAGTCCTCCCACTGCCCCACAGGCCTGCACCCCAGCACTCCACAGGAAGAGCCCCCCTGCTCCTGCCCCTTGGCAGCTGTGGCGGTAGGACCGTGGTGACCCACCCAGGGGGCTGTGAGCCCAGTTTCCTAGGGCCGAGAGCCACACGTGCTGTGCTCAGAAACAGTGCCAAACACAAACAGGCTGCAGGCCTTTCCCGCTCTTCTGGAGGACAGGCCTCACCAACAGCCCGTGGCACAGAGGGGTCCCACTCGGCGGATGGAAAATGGCCTATTTTATTACCTGCTTACCTCCCCCAGGTGGCTGTACAGGGTCCGAGTATCCATGGCTGAGGGCCTTGGACCTAGCTGGCAGACAGCATTTGGACATGACCTTGGACTAGGGGCCCTGCCCCTCCCTGGGAAGGAACTGGGTGAGGGTGCAGGCCGCTGAGCTGAGGACCCCTTGGGCGGCCTGTGCAGCATCTACCTGCAGCTACACTCAGAAGCAGCCTGGGGACCTTGAGCCTGCCCCCCTCGTTCCCACCACTGGCCTCAGGGCCTTGGTTACTGCTCGAGTTTCCAAAGGTCACACTCAACAGGAAGGAGGTGCAGATGACACACCCTTGACTTAGCTTTCCAGCTGCAGAGCTAGTTTTAGAGGAAGGGCCAAAGGGGGCTGAAGGGGGCTGATGTTCCGTCCATCCCTACTGTGAGCTGTCTTCCTCACGCCTCCCTGTGTCCTTGTACCCACAAGGAGAAGACACCCCGCACCTCCACCCTGTGCCGCTGGGCCTGCAGAGCCCAGCTGTGGTCTGTCCAGTGCCACGGGGCCCACCGGCCACACTGTTTATGGGCCCAGGAGGTCGTGCAGATGACCCCGACCACCATAACTCACTTGGAGGCCTGGGCTTTGCTCACGCCGGTGCCTCGGTTTCCCCATCGGCTAAACGGGGATGGTCACGTTTCCCCAGCCTACCTCATGGAGCTGTTCTGAGGATACATACAAAAGCACTTTGTCCCTGGGAGGAAGGTGACGCAGAAGCCAAAGCCGTCTGTGACTGAGCCAGTGCAGCCGTGAGCACATGGAGGGCGGTGGGGGCATGTGAGGAACACAGGCCCCAGACCATGACCCACAGGACAGAAGCAGGGGTCCTCAGCCCATTGGGTGACCAATGGTCCCTAGGACTCAAAGGTTAAGCCACCAGCCACCTTCGGGTAAGGCCAGGCTCCTCGTGGGCCTGGTGGCATGGTGTGGGCAAGCTCTGCCCTCGCTGAGGTCCTGTGGAGGTGAGCTCCAGCCCTGTATCCGGGCCACAGCTTCTCCCTCCTCGTGTCGGTCCCCTGGGTCCCCATCTCCTCAGGGCATGCAGGCCGGTGTCCCGAGTCAGTGTCACAGCTGCAGATCCGGAAGGAGAGGGACTCTGGGCCCAGAACCAAAGGTGTCTGTGCAGCGGCAGGCAGATCAGAGCAGCCAGGGCCAGCATTGCTGCCCTCTCCTCACTCCCAGATATGAAGACCTGACTGGCCTTTGTCCCAGAACAGGTTCCTCATGACAAGACCGGGCCACTTGCTCCCAAAGGCCAGTTGCCTGACCCCTACACCTGTTCCTTGACCCCCCCCCCC